TGGCATTAAGAAACAGAGAAGAGAAGTAACCCCAGAAAAGCAATTGGTACCCGAGGTGTTGATGGAAGGGGATTCCCCTTCCAAACAGTAATTCATCCAATCAGTCTCCTTCTCCAGTCTTCCATACACAAAGAAGAATCGCCAATAAAGGTAAGTGTTATTCTGTTAATGTTTAATTCATCATGTGCCACTGTATTGTTTATGTACTACATCTATATTTCATGTAAAAAAATTTTTTGTTTTAACACTTCTGGGTGTCAGGAACAGATTAATTGAATTTACATTATTTCTTATGGGGAAAATTGATTCGTAAATCGTCCATTTCGATAATAGTCCCACTTCCAGGAACGGATTATGGACGATTATTGCTTCTACAGTGTTTTAAAAGCTGAGGTTGGAGAGTTGAAGGAGGAGGTCTTGCTTCTCCAGGAGGAGATTAGGAGGCTGAAGGTCCACCTCAATGGGCCTGGGAGAGAGTGTGAGGTGGTTGGAGATGTGGGGAATGAGGCTTCTAGCAGTGAGGTGCAGTCTGTCTCTCACTGTGAGGAGGCTGTAGGTGGGGTGGTAGCAACGGCTACCAGCAGTGAGGTGCAGCCCAGCACCTGCTACAAGTGGCGAGTTGTTCACAGTAATGGGAGGCGCATCAGAGTAAGGAAAGTAAGAGTGCAGATCTGAAGGTAGGAAATCGCTTCTCTGTTCTCCCCGATGAATGTACTTCAGTGGCCAGTGAAGGTAAGGGGACTACTGCCCCTGCTAATGAAGGTAAGCGCATTCTTGTGGTTGGTGACTCTCAGGTAAGATAGTTGATCGTGCTTTTTGTAATAGGAAAAAGAAGATGAGAGATAGAGTGTGCTTCCCTGGAGCTGGTGTTGGGGACATTGTCAACAGACTGGATAATATCATGTCAGGTAATGGGAACAAGCCCATTATCTGTCTCAGTGCTGGGGGAAATGATATTGGGAAGGGTAGGAGAGAAGAGCTGCTAGATAAGTACAGGTCAGCTATAGATTTCATTAAGTCTAAGGGAGGGATCCCAATCATATGTAGCATCTTGCCTAGAAGGGGAGTAGGAAATGAATGGTTGTCTAGGGCAATTGGTGTAAATTGCTGGCTAGACAGATACTGCAAGGAACATGCAATCCCATTCATTGACAACTGGAACAACTTTTATGGCAAACATGATATGTATGCAAGGGATGGGGTTCATCTCTCTGGGGCAGGGGTGGTAGCACTTGCAGACTCGATTGAGAAGGCCATTGGTGAAATGCCTATGATTTTAAACTGATGGAAGATAGAGGTATGGGTGTGTGTGGGAAACAAGCAGGTTGCAACACTAGGGTTGGAAACAGTAAATGTATAAAAGGCATTCAGCATGAAGTTATAAATAAAGACAATAGAACAGGTCAGCAAACAAAGGGGGACAGCAGAGGGCAGCAAGGGACTAGCTCCCTTAAGGTTTACTATACTAATAGCAGGAGTGTTAGAAATAAGATAGATGAGCTAAGATTAATTGCAAGTGCAGGAAACATAGATATTATTGCTATAACAGAGACCTGGCTCAATCTGAAAGATAGAGAGATGCCCTCTGAATGTCACATACAAGGCTATAAATTATTCCACACTGACAGGGTCAACAGGAAAGGTGGTGGAGTAGCGATGTATGTCAGAGACAATTTAAATTGTTGTGTTATACAAGATATTAAATTAGAAGCGTCAGCCACTGAATCTGTTTTGGTTACAGCTTCTCGAGGGCCGAGAAAAAACTAATTTTGGGTGTGATTTACAGGGCCCCAAATCTTGATAGGGAGTGCAGTAAACTTCTATGGGACGAAATTCGTAAGGCATCTACATACGAAAATGTTGTGCTAATGGGAGATTTCAACTATAGACAGATTGGACTGGAGCAATTTGACAGGAAATTTAGAGTCGGGTGACTTTCTTGATACGATCCAGGATTGTTTTTTAAAACAGTTTGTGACAGAGCCAACTAGGGGAAATAACCTCCTTGACTTGGTTCTTGCCAGTAGGGAAACACTAATTAATAATCTTGAGGTTAATGATGAGCTTGGGGAGAGTGATCACAAATCACTCAGTTTTAACATATCATGGAATTCCCCTAATAATGGCAATCAAGTCTCCGTCCCTGACTTTCGCTTGGCTGATTTCATAGGACTGAAAAATTACTTAGGTGGGCTGAACTGGAATGACCTGACTAAGGGTCAGGTAGGTGGCGATGGTTGCCGATATAACACTTTCCAGGGCATAGTTCTAGCTGCTCAGTCAAATTATGTTCCAAATAGGGAAATCAGATCAAACAAAAATGATCCTAAATGGATGAACAATAGATTAAAATATCTGATTGGTCAAAAGAGAGGCATATATAGGCAAATCAAAAAGAGGAGAGGGCAATTAAGAAATCGATATATTCAGTTAAAGAGAGAAATAAAAAAGGGAATTAGAAAAGCAAAAAGAGATTATGAGGTTAAAGTTGCATGAGAAATCGAAGACTAACCCAAAAGGATTCTTTCAGGTTACAGAAGTAAAGATCAGGGACAAGATAGGCCCACTCAAAAGTTCCTCGGGTCAGCTCACTGACAGTGATAAGGAATGTGTAGAATTTTTAACACATACTTCCTCTCAGTTTTTACACAGGAGGATACCAGCGATATTCCAGTAATGATAAATTATGTAAACAGGACGATAATAAACTGTGCACTATTAGGGTCACAAGTGACATGGTCCTTAGGCAAATAGATAAATTAAAACCTAACAAATCCCCAGGCCCTGATGAACTGTATGCAAGGGTTCTAAAGGAATGTAAAGAGGAGCTTAGCACACCTTTGGCTAATCTTTTCAACATATCACTACAAACTGGCATGGTGCCAGATAAGTGGAAAATGGCAAATGTGATACCTATTTTCAAAACAGGTGACAGGTCCTTAGCTTCGAACTATAGACCAATAAGCCTAACCTCCATAGTGGGAAAATTTATGGAATCAATAATTCCCGAGGCAGTTCGTAGCCACCTTGAAAAGCATAAATTAATCAACGAATCTCAGCATGGTTTTACAAAGGGGCGTTCCTGCCTTACGAATTTATTAACTTTTTTCACTAAGGTATTTGAGGAGGTAGATCATGGTAATGAATATGATATTGTGTATATGGACTTCAGTAAGGCTTTTGACAGGGTCCCACATCAGAGACTATTGAGGAAAATTAAAGCACATGGAATAGGAGGAGAAATTTTTTCCTGGATAGAGGCATGGTTGACAAATAGGCAGCAGAGAGTTTGCATAAATGGGGAGAAGTCAGAGTGGGGAGGCGTCACGAGCGGTGTCCACAGGGGTCAGTGTTGGGCCCCCTGCTGTTCACAATCTACATAAACGACATAGATGAGGGCATAAAGAGCGACATCGGCAAGTTTGCCGATGACACCAAAATAGGCCGTCGAATTCATTCTGACGAGGACATTCGAGCACTCCAGGAGGATTTGAATAGACTGATGCAGTGGTCGGAGAAGGCAGATGCAGTTTAATATAGACAAATGCAAAGTTCTAAATGTTGGACAGGACAATAACCATGCCACATATAAACTAAATAATGTAGATCTTAATATTACGGATTGCGAAAAAGAATTTAGGAGTTCTGGTTAGCAGTAATCTGAAACCAAGACAACAGTGCATAAGTGTTCGCAATAAAGCTAATAGAATCCTTGGCTTCATATCAAGAAGCATAAATAATAGGAGTCCTCAGGTTGTTCTTCAACTCTATACATCCTTGGTTAGGCCTCATTTAGATTATGCTGCACAGTTTTGGTCACCGTATTACAGAATGGATATAAATTCTCTGGAAAATGTACAAAGGAGGATGACAAAGATGATCCCATGTATCAGAAACCTTCCCTATGAGGATAGACTAAGGGCCCTGAAACTGCACTCTCTAGAAAGACGTAGAATTAGGGGGGATATGATTTGAGGTTTATAAGTGGAAGACAGGAATAAATAAAGGGGATGTAAATAGTGTGCTGAAAATATCTAGCCTAGACAGGACTCGCAGCAATGGTTTTAAGTTGGAAAAATTCAGATTCAGGAGGGATATAGGAAAGTACTGGTTTGGTAATAGAGTTGTGGATGAGTGGAACAAACTCCCAAGTACCGTTATAGGGGCCAGAACGTTGTGTAGCTTTAAAAATAGGTTGGATAAATACATGAGTAGATGTGGGTGGGTGTGAGTTGGACTGACAGCTTGTGCTAACAGGTCGGGGTTGCCGTGTTCCTCCCTTACGTCAATGTGACCTGACCTGACTAGGTTGGGTGCATTGGCTTAAGCCGGTAGGGACTTGGACCTGCCTCGCATGGGCCAGTAGGCCTTCTGCAGTGTTCCTTCGTTCTTATGTTCTTATGTTCTTAAAAATGATAAAAGTGCTGTGTGACTCAACTCCAAGTAATTTGTTGTGTGTCAATAGCTAGACGTAAGAGTGGTTCATTTACACTGTGAAAACAAGTGAAAAATATATGAGTTACTTAGCAAGGTATTATCTTGGTGATATACTATCTTAACACCTGACTACCAGAACGACAACATAAATATTGGTCAGTACCCTGGTAGCTACTATCTTAACACCTTACCACCAGGACGACAACATAAATATTGGTCAGTACCCTGGTAGCTACCTGACCTGGCAGGTGAACACTATAACAATACACGGTGATACAATTCCTCATTCAACACTGTCTCCTGTTTTATGTCATTATCAGCATTATCTGACAGTTGTTTCACAGATCTGGACAATTCCAGATACACTACACATTAGTTCTTTCATTAGTTATAATAGGCAGCTGACTTAGAATATTGATTATTTAAATCACTATTATAAATCCATCTGGGCTTTGTAAATTGAATATGTATGGCAGTTACAATACTAGCCCAGATGAGCTTAGGTGTATGTCTATTATTATTATTGTTGCTGTTTATTGTTAAGGTTGTAAATTGTATGACAGGTGATGTTGGACCGACGACTGATGCAGGACGACAACCGAGGACTGGGCCAGGGAATACTGGACAATGTTCTTACCTCCAGTACCTTCTGTGTCTTACTGGAACCTCGCATCACTGTTAAGGTTGGTACCTACCTTATAACTCTTCTGGAGTTATCAGGTAGATAGAGAGGCTCTGGAGTTATTAGATAGATAAAGAAGCTCTTGAGTTATCCAGTAGATAGAGAGAGACTGATGTAAATAACTATAGACCAATATCTAACTTAGCATTGTTATCCAAAATTTTTGATTGTTGATGCTGACATATTGAAAAATGGCTGAATTGTTGTGTGCATAATGTATTGACCTCTGGTGTTGAGTGATTCTCGTAGACAGTGTTCATCCTGTCTGTCCTATGTATGTTTGGTTGCAGTCTTTACATGGTACCTGGTAACTCCTGGTGTGTCTTGCATAGCTGAATGTTTGTCTTAGAAGAGATTCCCTAGCAACTACAAATGCAAAATCATAGAATCTGTCCTCATAGCTGCCACTCCCAGTTTCACCATCTCACAGAGACGGTGCAGACCAGACGTCATATCAAAATTTGCCTTCAAGAAGTACATACCAGCAGCCAACCTAATACAGAATACCAGCACAACACCAGGAGTAATATACTACAAAGGAACTTCAAACCCAAATTTTTAGCTTCACTTCAGTACCTGTCTTCTCACCCAGTCACTGCTATACATGTTCCTCCACTTACCTGTACTTCAGTACCTATCTTCTCACCTAGCCACTGCTAAACATGTTCCTCCACTTACCTGTATTTCAGTACCTGTCTTCTCACCCAGCCACTGCTCAACATGTTCCTCCACTTACCTGTATTTCAGTACCTGTCTTCTCACCCAGCCACTGCTCAACATGTTCCTCCACTTACCTGTATTTCAGTACCTGTCTTCTCACCCAGCCACTGTTATACATGTTCCTCTACTTACCTGTACTGGGTGAGGTGCAACCTTCCCTGTATATTCTTCTCATTTGACTTGTATATCTGCTGAAGAGGATCAAAATATGCAGATCAATTAATCTCCAGAGTTTGTGTCTCCATGTAGGTTATTGTTAATAACTTTTTAGTACACTTCATACATTCCAATGTCAGCCATTACTAGATAAACATTGTATCATCTGGATTTAAACTTCTATATTATGTAACATTGTACGTGCAAGTCTGTGATCCACCCGGATCACATGACGACTGTGTATGTTATATTTCCAGGGTGGTCGTCAGACACAGTCGTCCAGGATGGTTGCCCAAGGTGGTCATCCAAGATAGTCGTCCGGGGTGGTCATCCAGGGTGGTCATCCAGGGTGGTCATCCAGGGTGGTCATCCAGGGTGGTCATCCAGGGCAGTCATCCAGGGTGGTCATCCAGGGTGGTCATCCAGGGTGGTCATCCAGGGCAGTCATCCAGGGTGGTCATCCAGGGTAGTCATCCAGGGCAGTCATCCAGGGCAGTCATCCAGGGCGGTCATCCAGGGCGGTCATCCAGGGCGGTCATCCAGGGCGGTCATCCAGGGCAGTCATCCAGGGTGGTCATCCAGGGCGGTCATCCAGGGTAGTCATCCAGGGCGGTCATCCAGGGTGGTCATCCAGGGCGGTCATCCAGGGCGGTCATCCAGGGTGGTCATCCAGGGTGGTCATCCAGGGTGGTCATCCAGGGCAGTCATCCAGGGCAGTCATCCAGGGTGGTCATCCAGGGTGGTCATCCAGGGTGGTCATCCAGGGCAGTCATCCAGGGCAGTCATCCAGGGCGGTCATCCAGGGCGGTCATCCAGAGTGGTCATCCAGGGCGGTCATCCAGGGCGGTCATCCAGGGCGGTCATCCAGGGCAGTCATCCAGAGTGGTCATCCAGGGCGGTCATCCAGGGTAGTCATCCAGGGCAGTCATCCAGGGCGGTCATCCAGGGCGGTCATCCAGGGCGGTCATCCAGGGCGGTCATCCAGGGTGGTCGTCCAGGGCGGTCATCCAGGGCAGACATCAACACACTCGGTTATACAGATATACACACTCTGGTATACATCTGTGTACACACATGTATAGAGAGTACCAAGATATTATTATTATTATTATTACACGTACAGGAGCGCGAGGATGGAAAGTTATTGAAGAACTCGTCATTACCATCATTGTTATCATTGTCTGCACTTAACACTCTACTGTATCCAGAGTACACTCTGCTGCCCACTACCAAGGTCAGTACCTCTCTTGTAGTGTTACCACTGTACCAGTGTATACTCTACTGCCCACTACCAAGGTCACTACCACTCTACCTCTCTTGTAGTGTTACCACTGTACCAGCGTACACTCTACTACCCACTACCAAAGTCAGTACCACTCTACCTCTCTTGTAGTGTTACCACTGTACTAGTGTGTCTTGTAGTGTTACCACTGACTGTATGCAGGTACAGTGGCACTAGAAGCAACAGTCTGGTTGTATTAACAGTTTGGTTGTATTAAAAACAGTCTGGTTGTATTAACAATCTGGTGCACCGCCAGGTTGAAGGTGCACGGTCATGGTGGGAGGTGGGCGGTGCACTGCCCTGTGATGTGCACCTGGTACACCTGCGGACCATGGTAGACCCACCCCGGGCCAGAGTGGGCCAGCTGGTGGCCCACCCACCAGCCCACCTCTCATCACTCACGCTCCATCGCCTTGGATTTGACTGCTATTTCCAGTCACCAGGACTCACCTGTTCCACCACTGCTGGCAAGGTTAGTCCAACGTGTGTTTAACACCTCTCAAATATATAAATAACTAAATATGTTTAGCACCTGTTGAACATCTCTCACACGTGTTTAACACCTCTAACACACAATACATATTTAATGAGGTTTAACAGATCTTTAATGAGGTTTAACAGTGTTTAATGAGGTTTACCAGGAGGGGTAGTTGTACATGTATATGTCCTGTCAGTAACAATCAGTGGTGGGCACAGCTAACTGAAATGTTAGCTTCGCTAACCGCTAATCTGCTGACTAAAAAATTAGCTCTGCTAAAGTTAAACCACTAAACGGCCGAAAAAATTAGCGGTAGCTAATTTTTTCGGCCGTTTAGTGTTTTTTTTCACATGAATTCAGATTCAATGTAGTTTTTGGTCTTTTACCCTTAAGACTTTTATAACAGACGTTGAGAACTTGCTAATGAGATATAGGACACCGAGGTCGTGTGATGATCCAGTGTCACTAGTGGGAAAATAGTGATTGTGTAAGGTTGTGATGCAACACAAGTGACCAACAAGGATACACTTGTCACTGTACTGAAGCACCATAACACCTGAACACGCTAAGTTAGCTTATTTGACTGTTTTCTTCAGTAGTTCCAGATGCTCATTGTATTCCTTTATTTTATTCTGTTTCTGTTCATGTTTGCACTTCATTTAATTTAGATTTTGAGCCCAATAAACTACAAACAAGTTGTTGAAAATCTTCCTTAAAGTTGCAACCTTGAGGCCAACTTATCACTGCACCAGTGATACATACAGGTGCACACAACTTATCACTGCACCAGTGATACATACAGGTGCACACAACTTATCACTGCACCAGTGATACATACAGGTGCACACAACTTATCACTGCACCAGTGATACATACAGGTGCACACAACTTATCACTGCACCAGTGATACATACAGGTGCACACAACTTATCACTGCACCAGTGATACAGACATACAGGTGCACAACTTATCACTGCACCAGTGATACAGACATACAGGTGCACACAACTTATCACTGCACCAGTGATACAGACATACAGGTGCACAACTTATCACTGCACCAGTGATACAGACATACAGGTGCACACAACTTATCACTGCACCAGTGATACATACAGGTGCAGACAACTTATCACTGCACCAGTGATACATACAGGTGCAGACAACTTATCACTGCACCAGTGATACAGACATACAGGTGCACACAAACAGTTAAATGAACAAATGACATCAAACATCAGTTTAAATCCAACATACACTTTATTTACTGTACAGAATGCATAGCATGGGTATCATGCCAAGATCATGGGTATCATGCCAAGAGTGTGGGTATCATACCAAGATCATGGGTATCATGCCAAGAGTGTGGGTATCATACCAAGATCATGGGTATCATGCCAAGAGTGTGGGTATCATACCAAGATCATGGGTATCATGCCAAGATCATGGGTATCATGCCAAGATCATGGGTATCATGCCAAGATCATGGGTATCATGCCAAGATCATGGGTATCATGCCAAGAGTGTGGGTATCATGCCAAGATCATGGGTATCATGCCAAGATCATGGGTATCATGCCAAGATCATGGGTATCATGCCAAGATCATGGGTATCATGCCAAGATCATGGGTATCATGCCAAGATCATGGGTATCATGCCAAGATCATGGGTATCATGCCAAGATCATGGGTATCATGCCAAGATCATGGGTATCATGCCAAGATCATGGGTATCATGCCAAGATCATGGGTATCATGCCAAGATCATGGGTATCATGCCAAGATCATGGGTATCATGCCAAGAGTGTGGGTATCATGCCAAGATCATGGGTATCATGCCAAGAGTGTGGGTATCATACCAAGATCATGGGTATCATGCCAAGATCATGGGTATCATGCCAAGAGTGTGGGTATCATACCAAGATCATGGGTATCATGCCAAGAGTGTGGGTATCATGCCAAGATCATGGGTATCATGCCAAGAGTGTGGGTATCATGCCAAGATCATGGGTATCATGCCAAGAGTGTGGGTATCGTACCAAGATCATGGGTATCATGCCAAGATCATGGGTATCATGCCAAGATCATGGGTATCATGCCAAGAGTGTGGGTATCATACCAAGATCATGGGTATCATGCCAAGATCATGGGTATCATGCCAAGATCATGGGTATCATGCCAAGATCATGGGTATCATGCCAAGATCATGGGTATCATGCCAAGAGTGTGGGTATCATTCCAAGATCATGGGTATCATGCCAAGAGTGTGGGTATCATTCCAAGATCATGGGTATCATGCCAAGATCATGGGTATCATGCCAAGATCATGGGTATCATGCCAAGAGTGTGGGTATCATACCAAGATCATGGGTATCATGCCAAGAGTGTGGGTATCATTCCAAGATCATGGGTATCATGCCAAGAGTGTGGGTATCATGCCAAGATCATGGGTATCATGCCAAGATCATGGGTATCATGCCAAGATCATGGGTATCATGCCAAGAGCATGGGTATCATGCCAAGATCATGGGTATCATGCCAAGATCATGGGTATCATGCCAAGATCATGGGTATCATGCCAAGATCATGGGTATCATGCCAAGATCATGGGTATCATGCCAAGATCATGGGTATCATGCCAAGATCATGGGTATCATGCCAAGAGCATGGGTATCATGCCAAGATCAGATGATGGCTGGGCTGAAAAGGCATTGATATTCGGACTATCAACAACATTGATATTCGGACTATCAACAACATTGATATTCGGACTATCAACAACATTGATATTCGGACTATCAACAACATTGATATTCGGACTATCAACAACATTGATATTCGGACTATCAACAACATTGATATTCGGACTATCAACAACATTGATATTCGGACTATCAACAACATTGATATTCGGACTATCAACAACACGTGAATTTCTTTTAGTGGACTCATAGTTATCAGAACTTTATTTAGTAGATGATAAGGTGAAAAATTAGATATTAAAGGAACTTTTTGCTCTTTGATAAACAACTTTACAACATCCAGCTAAATTTACAAAGAATAATTTGTTTAATGATCTTTAACAGGTGTTTAATGAGGTTTAACAGGTGTTTAACCCCTTAACTGCTCAAACATTGATCTACAGTTTCACTGCTTGCATTCCAAATATTTTGAAAAAAAAAATTTTTTTTTTTTTTTTTAGTGAAGAGGGCTATTTTCTATGTGTAATAAGACCAAAAACAAAAAATTTAGGGTCAGTAGTTATTGAGATATAAAGTGGCAAAGTTGGCACTGGATGCTCACCTGACGGCAACATGGAGTCCTGCCACTTGCAGAAATGTTGCCGATATGCCTTTTTTCTCATTTTTTTTAATTTATATATTTTTTATGTTCTGATAATTACAATTTATAATAGTTCTTGTGATATCATAACAATGTTTGTTGTGACATTAATATTAGGTACTGAAATAGTGCTCAGATAATCACAAACACACTGAGAGGCGAACATGTTCACCTGCCTTGGTCACACAATATTGTCTAGAAATATATACAAAGTATTTATAGGTCCCAGCAATGTTTTTAGAAGTACTTGAGTGTATGACACTCCTAAGTACAGTGTCATTAACAGGCCAAGTCTGTTAAGAGGCGGCACAGCTATATACTACTATGATGAACTTGAATATAATAAATCTACTTGCATATGGGATGAATATGGTGAATATACATTTGCTAAATTTAAATCCAAAAACCTAAAAAAAACTTTAACAGTCTGAGGAATCTACAGAGAACCTCACTTCAGTATTACTCATTTAGCAAAAACTTAAGAAACATGATAACTGACACAGAGATGAATAAACACGTAATACAAATGACTTCAACATAAACCTTATACATGACCATGACTCACAAGTAACTGAATTCACAAACACTATGAGCAACTGCTTACTTCTGCCATCTATAACTAAACTAACAAGAATCTGTGAGGCAAGTGACTCATTACTAGATCATATCTGGACAAACACTATAACCCCATTAAAAGCAGTCATAATCACTGATAACACCACTGACCATTATCCCACCTTTCTCATAACCAACTTGTGTAAGCTGCCCAACGACACAAGTAAGATCACATTTCGACTACATGATGAGTCATCTGTTAATAACTTTATTTCAGCACTCGGTAACATCGCCTGGCAGAGTCAGCTAGCAGTCATCCTCAATATTAATGAATGTGTCAAAATTTTCTTACAAAAAACCCATTAACCCTTTGAGGGTTGACAGGCCCTCTCCAAGACTTGTTCTCAGGGTCGGCCAAATTCAAAAAAAAAAAAATAATTTTTTCTTATGAAAAGATAGAGAATCTTTTCCCGATCATAATGACACCAAAAGTATGAAATTTGATGGAAAACTTACGGAATTATGCTCTCGCGAAGTTAGCGGTCTCGGCAATGTTTACGCATCGGCGATTTTGCCCACTTTGAGTCCCATTTTCGGCCAATTCCACTGTACTAGTCGACAAAAAACATGAATATTTAGCTAGAACTCCATTTTTTCTATCAAATGAGTGCAAGAAACCACCCATTTACCAATTTCAACTATCCAGTACAATGGTCAGAATTTAGCAATTTTGCCAATTTCACACAAATTTCAAAAGATGCCAATTTCCGAATAGGGTCCAGAATAAACAAGAAAGACATTCCTGGCACTAAAATGATATTTCCTCTGTTCATTAGTCACGTCTCAAGGCCCCTCTTACATTCTTTTGCTTTCCACTTTGAATTTTTATTCTCACAAAAAATAGAAGATTTACTGTTATGCAGACTACTGCAATAGTGTAAAAAATGGTATAAATAATATTGGCGCACTTGTGAAAGAATATTAGACTCACCAGTTGATGTGTATTGGATGCTTGGCATGATTTGTTTACTTTTGAACTTTGGTAAAAATCGAACTTTTCTGCTACTTTGAGCTCAATTACAAGGTACTTTTCATTGT